TACATAAGCAGTAATCTTTTCAAAGAATGTTAAAATATTTGTAAGGCAAGATTTTCCCTTAGTGAAACCATGTTGACTATCCAATAAAATTCTAAAATTTGTTAAACGACTTTGCAAAGTATCTTTTAACAGACTTTCCAAAATATTTCTCACAACTGATGTAAGACTAATGGGTATGTAATTACTGGGACAATTTTTATCACCTCTCTTAAAAAGAAGAGTTACATTAGCTAACTTCCAATCCTCTGGTACCTGCCCACTATTCAAGGACTGACAAAAAATAGTAGTATATGGCTCGCATATCCCATCTTTAAGCTCCTTCAAAACCATTGGTGAAATATTAGCTGGTCCAGGAGCCTTATCATTTTTTAAACTTCCCAATTTTTTCTTAACCAGCTCAGAATTAGTGCAGTCATCTTATTGGTCTCATTTCCATTTATCAACTGATCAAGATATGGAATACTGCTTAAATCTTCATCAGTAAAAACTAAAGAAAAAGTAAAATTTGATAATCTAGCCATCTCATAATCATCAGATACAAGCCTTCCTTTATCATCCCCCAAGTGTCCTATCCCTATCCTAACCTTTTGTTTCACCTTAATGTATTTAAAGAAATCCTTACTATTAATTTCACACTTTCAGCCAACTTTTTCTATACATCCCTTTTGATGTCATAATTTCCTGTTTCACGAACTTTATTGATCTTCTATAATCTTCCAAGTCTCCTGTCATACCAGTCAATTTAAATTTCTTAAATTTATGAAACATTTCTTTAATTTTATTTCTTAAACTCTGTGAGCCAACCTGTTTTTTTTTTTACTTGTAGCTACCCCTTTTCTTTCTATTAGGAATGTGTTTACATTGAATATTTAAAAATAAATTTAAAAAATTTACCACATCTGATCAGTCTCCAAATAACTCAGTTGCCCAATTCACAACAGAACTCTTGTCACATTCCTTCAAAATTTGTTTTTTTTTCAAATTTTAACCAAAATACCATTATTTCTTATCTCCATATGCAGCAAAACATTGAACCTAATAGAGCAATGATCACTTGCACCCAAATGTTCCTCAATTTTCACCCTCTCAATCATTTCTGTATTTGAAGTTAACAGTAAGTCTAAAATAGATTGTTTCTAGTTGGTTCCTGGTGAAGAAAGCCATACTGAACAGTTTCCAAAAACCTTTCTCCCTCATGGTTTGATTCTAGAATTTCCCAATCTACATGCATGAAATTAAAATCACCCATAATTATGACTTCATTAACAGCTGAAATCTTAATCTCATTATAACCTTTCTCACTAATTTCATCAGAATCATTTGGTGGTCTCTAACAAATTCCCACTAAAAGCCTTTTCCCTTTATATCCACTAATAGAAACCCATATGGATTTGATCTCTTTGCTATTATCTTTGATATCCTCAACTTCAACAGAGTGTAACTCACATTTTACATATAAAGCCACTCCTCCTCCCCTCTTTAATACTCTATCCCTATTAAATAGCCTGTAACCTTGTATTTCGAAAAAAATTCTGTCATCAAAATCATCTACGTTTAAACATGTTTCACTTATTCCCATTATATCAAAATCCCGCATTCCTACCAGTGCTCTAAAGTCATCTTGTATATTTCTTATACTTCTAGCATTACAATAGTAACAATTAAGCCTATCCTTGTAACTACTTCTATACTCATTTCCCATGCTAAACTTTTCTCAGCCTCTTATTCTGTTTGATTTACGTTTTTCCTGGCCCTCTTGTGTAGTCCTAGTTTAAAACTTCCCTTTCAGCTGAGTTAATAGTCATAGCAAACAAGCCAGCTTCCACTCCATTTTATTTAAATGTATACCATCTATTCCAAAAAAGCTCCCTTCTTCCACTGAACTGATCCTACAAGTCCAACCAGCTAATCTACTCATCCTTATATATATATATATATATATATATACTAACTTAAGTCTAGCATTTAGCCCTAGTGACCTACTTATCCCCACAGTTAATTCTGGGCAGTATCCCTGACAAAATTAAGTTATGGCCTTCTTCCATTAAATGTCTTTATCAACCCCTTGTACTTATTAATTAGCTCTTCTGACCTACCTTTCCCTACATCATTAGCCTCTACATGCACCACAAAAGCTGCACTCTGCTAGCCCCCTTTATTATATCTCCTGCTCCATCAGTTATATCCTCCACCTGTGCCCCGAGTAGCATAATCTGATTCTTTTCTTCCTATTTACCCACAGACTATTCTATTCACATGCCTTATCAAGGAATCACCTATAACTATAACCTCCTTATCATCCACGTCCTTTTTTGCCCCTTTTGTTTTCTTTCCCTCCAATTGTTCTAAGATCTGCACAAGCCAAGGGCTAAAATTTGTTGCTCAACAAAATTAGCTCATTAAACTAAACATCAATTCGATCTAGGAAAAAAAAAAATTGCAAAATTTTACGTATCTTTGAGAACGGTAAAAAACTAGATAGCCTGGAAATTTTAGAAATAAATAGAAGTCTTAAAAACAAATCCAGAAAATGTTCTAAACCAACTTAAGCTCCTCCTCACTTGTGTCTAGCTGAATGGCAAGGCCACTTTTGGTTACTTTGTTTAAACCTGTTACGAAACATTTCAGTCTGTACCTGATGAGGCCTTTTCTGGTGAAATCATGGTCATGAATAAATGACGTATATGTGAAATGTACAAATGTCTTGTTTTCCTTCAATTTTGTTAAATGCTATGTTATAATTTTACCTATAAACAAACCTCTTTTTTTTTGAGAATTACGCTGAAATTTATTTATGTAGCAGAATATTTGTGTTGGGGTATGTTAAAACAGTATAATAATTATATAGATTTACATTATATGTAATATTATAATACACAAAAGGTATTTTTTGAAGTTTTATGAATACCTCTCGCACTCTTGCAGCAATATTTGTAAGTAGGAAAAGGAGGCATGTATTGTATTATAAATTTTACATCTTGTTTCAAGTTATTATTCTGGCACAATGAGGAAGGCATCTCTATATGGATTTCTTTTACTTTTATTATTATTTGTTTTCATTAATAAGAATAATAGCAAATACTGTTTATACAAATTGGTTATAATTTAATTTAAAACACTTGATACACATTTTAGGGCTCACAGTTCTTTTTTTTTTTAAATAACCATATTTATCCTACACAACTAATTTTTTTCAAGTATTAATTTTTCATAACATTTTATTGACATGCCAATTTTATTACATAAATTTGCCTTAATAAAAATGGTTGAATTGAATCTGATCTAATTGTCTCAGTGAAGTATGTCATGCACGTTTTGACACATAGGAAAGTGTTTTCTCATCACATTGTGCAAGTGATAAAATTTCATAACATTGAAACACAACACAGGACCTTTTGGAAAATCTGTCCTGTCTACTGAATTAAACTAAACACTAATAATAAGTATAATAATAATAAAAAAAATAAGTTTTATGTAGACAAGTAGGGATTGATATATATACATAACTTAGCTAGCT